TTTTATAACCATTTTTAATTACATTACCTTTCTTTAAGTTAATATGATTTCCTCCTTTTTCGTTCTATTTCCTGCAGAAGCGGTTACACATCCCGGATACTGCTTTGATGAACTCGGGCTACTGTACGGCCTCCATGGGACAAGCTGAAAACTGACACCTTAGAAGAGTACTTCGGAATGTATAGGCAACTGGCTTGCTTCTACATTCATCTGCTTTGCGAAGATGAAAACAGAACACTGCTGTGGAGCACAATGTCAACGGTCACTACAGCTAGCAATGGAAACTAGAAAGATCTTCCCAAGCGGGCGGATACTTGACGCCCTACCTGCAACGTGGTAACCTGCAATGTGGCCCTGGGCTGTAAAAAAATAAGGCACAGCCTCCCAGCCTTGGGCTGTGTGGCCAGCAGACACCACCTTGAAAAACCTAAGGGGCGAAAAATGCAAGGCCGCATCGACAGCACGAAACAAGTTGGCTACAGTTTGCTCGCACAGGAAGACATAGCTGGTGTACATGCTGTAGCGAAATGAATGTTTGCATAATGCGAAGAATGCCAAACAGAAGAAATGAAAAGCTGAAACTCTATCAAAGACACTCGCTGCGAACCGTCCCGGATGTCAAGAAGCGAACTCGGACCAAGGAAGAGTATGTCTGACGCCTGTGATCATGAACCCATCGTGAGTTCGAGCTGAAGCATGTGTTGGACTACAGTGAAAACTTTCAACTGAGGAACCTTTGTTGCAAGACACGCTAAGAGGTCAAGGCTAAACAAATTAGTTCGTGTCCGGCCAGCAACATGCTTGCGCTTCATCCTCATGCAAAGGCAACTGCTCTCTGAAGTCGATCGATCTGTGTGTGTGTGTGTGTGTGCGCGCAGATAATCGGTGTCCTTGTAGCAGTCTGTTGGGTATCTTGTGGTGCTACAACGTAAATGCCAACATGCTGCACTGATATTGTGAGTCTCGGTGTCACATAATCTACAGCATCTAAGATGCATGTCTATGAATATTTTTGAAGACGGATATTTTCAGAACTTATGGATACCAGGAGGCTCGTTTTGCAGTGTTCAAAGGTGACCAATTTCTTCTTTATGACTCTTCTGCATTGTAAATGCAAGCAACTTTGAATATGAAGCTCCCATGCCCACTTCTGTTTGTGTAAAAAACTTGTTTTTAGCTCCCCTAACTGTGTCGTTTCACAGACTTGGTACTGTCGAAGTACATCTGCATATGGGCAACGCTCGGGTATTACGGTACTTTTTTTGCAAATATAAAGTTTTCACATTATCACATTGCCAATAGGTCACAGGTGTTTTTTGATGTAGTAACCAGATAGGTTGCTTGCTTCAAAACAAGTACTATATTTGAACAGGCAGAGTGCTTTGAATTGCTGAACCTATGCAGGTTGATCACAGGTCTAAGGAAAGTTTGCCAAAATATGTGGAATACGTTTTTCAAACTATGTGCAATACATTTTTTAAACCAGCCCATCACAATTTTAGAATGTTATTACTTTTATACTTGTTTGGCAATTTGGGTCCCATAGCTGTTGCATCAGATGTCCCTAAGGGTACTTTACTCGGGCCTCTATTGTTTCTAATATATATCAATGACCTACCATTATCAATTAAATCGACAATTAGACTTTTTGCTAATGCTTGAGTTATTCACTGGAAAATTAATACACCTATATTAATCACAATATTGTCCAAGACGATTTAGATACAATATCATCATGGTGTTCACTATGGCAGATGAACATTAACACATATAAATGTAAAGAAATGTCCCTAATTAAGTTCTCCACTAAAACACTAACCCAGTACTTTTTACTTTCCAAACCACTAGAACACTCACTGTCGTACAAATATTTGGGCGTGTATTTCACAGACTCATTATCATGGGTTGAGCAAATAACAAATAGCGCACTAAAAACACTTAATTTCTGAAAAAGCCATTTGTACGAGAAAATTCTTGTGTTCAATAAATGCATGAATCATGCAAGATATATAATAACCATATAAGAACTATATAAGATATATAAGAAACTTCTTACAAATTTCTTATATTATTCTAATCTAGTTTTTATAGGGCTCTTATATGTTCTTATATATCTTGTATGATTCATATGTGTTTATTGGACACAGAAGTTTCTCATACAAATGGGATTTTTCAGTAGGGATCTAGCTCTTATTAAAGCAAAACTACTCGCATACCAAACATTTATCCTCCCACCATTAGAATATGCGAGCATAATTTAGAATCCACATCTAAGTTACCTATAATCTAGAGGCTTGAATCTTCAGAACAAAGCAGACAGATTTAAATGTAGTGATTATTTATCCGAAACTAGTGTCTCCGCTTTAAAAGCTAGCATAAATCTTCCTAATCTAAAAATAAGACGAAAAATAGTCTGATTGTGTTTTTTTTTTCCAAGATGTATATTACTCAGATTCCAATTTTTTTTAAATGGTTCAATCTTCAAGGAATTATCATTCATATTAGATAATTCCTTGAAGATTGAACCATTTCAGTGCCATACACTTTCCTCTTCCTTAGTACTTTACAACACTGACTGGAACCAACTACCTGACCATATTGTAACTGAGAGATATCCCATTTTATTGAAAAAGTGCATCAATTTGTGTAACAACTTTGGTTTGTAAAACTGCATCATAACAATAGCATGCTAATAAGCGGTTTTGTGTGTGTGTGTGACATTTTCTTTTTGTTGGTGTCTTCTTTTATGTTCGATTACTATTTTGTCTTTTATTTTTTTTAATTCCCCCTGATGTAATGCGTCTTTGGATGCATTTGAGGTGAATGAAATTAAATGAAATGAATGCCTCTGCATCATTTATCCAATTGTTACTTTAGTTCGTTTTCTCTGGTCCTACTACTTCGATTATTGTCATTTCATCGGAATTATTTTTTATTAGACAAGTCAAATGTCGTTTAGAGATAATTACACCACCCAGGTTATCACTTAAAAAAATAACACATCTGTCTCAAGATATCACCTTCTTGTATTTCACTACAATAATTGTAGGTTATAAGAATTTTCCTGCGTTCTAAAATTGGTGCTTTATATCACTCGGCGTTCACAGTTCTCACGTTAGCTCATAAAAAATAAATTGTGCGAAAACCCGCGTTTCTACGACGTAACCCTACCAAAAAAAAAGGTTTAAAAATAAACCGGAATGGATCCGAAATTTCAAACCCTCATATGGGCCTCTAAGCAAACCGGATTTCTAGAAACCGTAAAATGAACCGGAAATGCCCAGTCCGGAAACCCAACCGTAATTGGTTGAAGCGGAAGCTGAACCGTATCTGGCCAATCCGTAGAGCTTTTTTTGGAGTGGGTCTAACCGTATATTAAATTGGATCGGGTAACACCGGAATATAATAGAAATAGTTTAATAGTGACATACCTACTGTTTCACCTTCCGATGTGCTGCAGCTGATGCTAAAGGCCATCCCTTACAAAAATGTCATATCTAGACTTCTAATAAAAAATACAGATATGGATATATGAGGAATTGGGCAGATATGGACCACATATGCATAATCAGACCGTATCTAGATGGATATAGCCATATCTGCCCAATTCCTCATATACCCTGTATAGACTGCTTTATATGATCCCGTGTTTGGGCCTGGAAAATATAGTACTTACCCCATATAAAGCAACTTTCATGTGATGCTCCTTCTAGCATCACATTAAAATTATTGCCATGGGGCAGGTACCATACTTTCAGGTCCAGACAAGGAATCATATAATGCATTTCTATGATTATCCACAAAATATACACTTTACTGCTATCCCACACTGCCAAACGTGTGTTTATATAGATGCATCGACAGAATAGGCCACTGACCAATCTTTATTGGCCTGGTTCGAAATTTGTGATTCCGACAAATATGTATGGTACAAAGATAAAATGCAGGCGATCGCTAGTAAGGAAATATGTCAATGGACGTCGGAAAATCACAGCCCTTTGGCGGGATTGGTTGTCGAGGGAGCACAGAGAATATGGTTTGCGAAAAAAGTTTTATACATAAAAGCGCCAAAACTGTAAACAAGCACTTCGCCGTTCAAGAAAACAAATGGTAATATCACACGGACAACCATTAAAATAAAATAAAAATGTAATAGCACACAGACGCCTATTAAAATAACACAAAAGGAAGGCGACAATTAAGCTGTAAACTATACGAAAGTTCCAAAGTCGTTGATTCTTACTCACAGGGTCACAGTCCTGATTTAACTCTCCGGTCGAGCACATCAATTTTGACAAGGGCTTGCTTGCTAGCCTCGTCGTTGAAGTCCTTCCTTGCACCGTGCAATGTTCAAAGTCCCCCAGTCGCTCCTCGCTGGCCTTGTTGTTCCGTTCGGTCCCGAAATCATCCCTTGTGATCAACACATCGCACACACACACGCACAAAGACACCATTGTTCGCCGGAAGCAATACAAGATGGAAAGTTCATTACTGCTCCTTGAACACGACGAGGTCACCACCATTTCCCGGACTAGAAAACGGCGAGGGCATCATATCTTTAACTAAAACTTAAAGATATGATGAACGCATAAGTAACAAAAACACAGACTAAATCACGAGAAAAACATAAAATAATGAACACACAAATAAAAAAGAATAAAAACACGAAGGACTTACACAGACAGCCACATTTGTTCAATTAACAATGAAGTTTCAGTCTGATAAAAAAAATATTTCTGCTGTGCTAAACGTAACCAATATGGTGAGTAAACTAGGCGACCTTGCGCAAAACAAGAATATTTGTGATCTTATTCAAATGTCATTGCGAACTCAAAACGTGTGGCTACCCTGCCTAGGTCCTTCATATTACTATTCTTCTGAATTCTGTGTTCATTTTGTGGCTGTTCAGAACCAGGCGGAACTTGGTGGTGCTCTTTCCATTCTGACCTTACTTCGGACAGCTCTGTGCCCATAGAAAGAAGCACTAGCTTCTCTACATAACCCCACCCCTTCTCCTTGGAGATACCCTCCGTGTATGCTGTAATTAGAAAAAAAAAACAAGAATCAGCACACATACACATTATTAGCTACATTGTTTTGCAATAATTTTTCTAAATAGGCCCCTGGCCTAGGACAACACAAGACTTTTTTTTTGGGCGACAAAAAGATTTGACACAAACGATTTGGCCCACATTTTGCTGAACAGCCAAATCCGCACACTTGACAATTGATGCTTATTAAGCAGTGTGCTTTATGTGGGGTGTTTAAGTGCAAAGCATCCAAAGTGTGTGTCCATCTGTATTTGCACAGTATACGGAAGTGGGAAGAATGCGGCCAGATTGCTGTTTTCACTCCTTGCAGCATATAGCTCGAGGATTCTCTAATTTTGCTTATACAGCACGTTTCACCACACAGAACGTACAAACACAAGCTTGGAGGTCGCACACGCAGTCTAAAAAAACGATTACATCGCATTTTTTTCTTTGCACTATAAAACGTTGTGTAATCATAATCATGACATCAATGGGACTACACAAGATTGCATTAAAGTTCCCAATCGGGTTTGTTTTACACCGCACAGCCACTGCCTGTACACAAGTCAACTAGCTCTACACATTCCGCTCAGCACACCACTGCTAGGCTGAATCAGATAAGTCTCACACTTGCCGAGCTTGAAGTACACTCGTGATCTATACGAAGGTGAACAAGCAATCGTCGACTGCTCAGTACTGGGAGCATCATGCAGCAGCTGACTTGCTCTCCTTTTCAAATGTTTTGCGAACCAAGTGTGGTAAGTCGTCTGATAAGGAGAGAACGTCACCACGGATGGAACTGAGCAGTTGGCACTCACCTGTTTACCTTCATATCGATCAATTCTCTACCTGGCCGAAGTAGCTAGTCTGTGTGCAGCATAAACGGCTGTATTGAAATCTCAAGAGGACGAAAGTTCAAAACAGGCTTGGTAAGGCTTCACGTTGCAAGTATGCCCATGCAAATTTCACTTTCTAAAACATCAAAATGCATTTCAAATTGTCACCCAAGACAAGCTGCTCTTACACAGCTGTACATATAAGGCAGCTTACCCATCAACAACCTTTGGAGACTGCCATAGACCTGAACCTCGGCCTAGTCGATGCTAGCGTCTGTTCGGCGAGGGCTGCACTGAGTAGAAAGGTGAAAATGTGCTGTAGATTATGTGAAACAAACAAGCAAAAGCAATCCTCGCATGCACAATTCGCTAGAGGCACTGACAAATAAAAATCAGAGGTTGGGTCAATTATGTTAACGCAATATACTTCAAACGCGTACCATGAGTGCTGGCAAAATATTTGTTGCCTTCAATCTAGATAAGATTGTAAATTTACATGCCAAATGACAAATAACTTAAAGGTTGAAATATATTTCGATGGAACTACAAAAACCAAAGACTAGCTCTGCAAATATGGTGCTATCTAGTACACCATAGATGAGTAGAATCGGATTATAGCGTCCCCCTTACAAAGACTGAAGCAAAACAAGTATAGAGTCTGCAGTGTCACTACAACAGAAACGATGGTATTGTGATCTCGTGGAGATCAGAGTTCGGAATAAGTGTGACAGGCTTTGGCATGACAAATATTCCAATGTCATTATTCATTTTTGCATATTCTACGGTGACAGTGCAGGGAAACAATCACACACCAGATACTCAGAAAGACAAGCACACGCGCTAAACTTATAGCTCTTGTGTATTCGACTACTTCATTCTTCTCTTCAACGTCTGGATTGACTTTCCAGAACGTGATAAGCAGAAGAAATAGCACGAAATACAAGGAAAAATGAAAAAGACAAGACAAAAGAAAAAAAAAAAGGATAAAGAAAACCCTTACAAATCATCCTTCTTACTCACCACTATTGTTTAGATAGAAATTGAAGCTCTTTGGTCGACAGTGCTATAGAGGGACTACTTACACACTTGTCCTTCAGGTGCTCTATTCTTTGCCCTCTCATTATTTCTATCTATCTATTATAAAACAATTTTCAAAATGTGCTACGCAACCACAATCTTGACAGCAGATTCCCAAATGTACAGCGACGACTCGGGGGTTATTATAAAAATGCTCCCTTAAACGATCATTCAAACACCTGCCAGTCTGGCCTACATACTTCTTACCACACTAGTTATGTAGACCAGACTGGCAGGTGTTTGAATGATCGTTTAAAGGAGCATTTTTATAACACCCACCGAGTCGCCGCTGGACATTTGGGAACCCACTCTCCGGATTGTGGTTGTATAACACATTTTGAAAATTGTTCCGTAATAGTTAAGAGTCGAGACCCATTGTCAAGAGAAATAATGGAAGCACAAAGAATAGAGCATCTGAAGAACAAGTGGGTAAGTAGTCCTTCTATTGTGTTGTCGACCAAAAAGCTCCGATTTCTAACTTAAGGATAGCAGTGAGGGAGTGGGATGACTTGTAAGGGCTTCCTATTTTCGGTTTTTCTCTTTCTTTTTTTTTTGTTCTTTTGTTTTTTTGTTGTTGTGCTTTTTTCCTTGTATTTTGTGCTATTCTCCTTATCACGATCTGAAAAGTCAATCTAGACGTCGAAGAGAAGAACGAAGTAGTCGAATACACAAAAGTTGTAAGTTCAGCGCGTGTGCTTGTCTTCCTGAGTGTCTGGTGTGCGAATGTTTCTCCGCGCTGTCACCATAGAATATGGTTCATCAACTTACCCAAGCATCCATTCTATCATTTCTGCAACATTAAAATGACTCTGAAAGTGCGAGCACCTGCAGGGTGTATTCACGCAAGTCTTGCAAGTGTTGAGTTGTATGTACAGTGCCCTGGTTGTGTCCATATGCGATTATGACCAAATACCACAAAGACTAACACTGCAAACTTCTCCGAAAACCAATGGGCGCAGTGGCGAGTGGCAAAAGTGGTGCTCTTCACCACTCTCGCCGTTTGTTCGCGTTTGTGTGTTGCTACTAACAAGCGCAGCAATGGGAAGGCTCAGCTATTATTGGGAACACTAAATAAACAAATACAAAATACAGATACAACACACAGCAATACTGGATGCAAGTAGTGACGCACTTCTGTTGGGGTTCTGTGGAGTTGGTGAGCCATTTGAAAGTTGCGACGAGTTGCTCGCTGTAGATGAGCAATTTAGCCAGTGCAGTATGACTGCTAGCCTGGAATCAACCTGCACCACGCAGTAGTGATACACGACCACATGCCGGTACGATGCTCATCTAGATCGAAATAGGCAGGGGTGGGGATTGAACCCAGGATCTCTGGGTTCTGCAGCGCAAGCTTTTGTTCCACGTGCTCCGAGCTGATGTGCGCTAGCCCAGTCGGCCACTGATCCCCAACGCAAGGCAACGCAACGTACTTCTGTTGTAAACTCAGCATTCCGCTTACGAATGAAATGCGCAATTTTCCTAAAGGCTTTTATTCCACGCGAGTGGAAACAAAATTGCTAAAGGCCAGCCCATAAATACAGTCTGTGTTAAAAACAATCCTAGCAGAAATAAGTTGCTATTATATTGCTCAATATATAGAGCACCTTACCATGAACAGCCTTGGCAGTCTTCCATCAAGCCAGGACTTCAGCAGGGGAGACTGTCATTTTGTGTCGTCTCAGGTCACTCACATCAGGATGGCGAAAGTGAATGCAAACATCTAATTGGGAAAGGCTGCAGTAAGTATAAAGATGAAAACACAAATTAGGATATATGATAAAAAACATCATGGACCAACTTGAAAAAAGTGCACGCAGACTGGTGCACATTCGCAACTCGATCTATTGAACACAAAAAAAAAAAATAAGTAAGAGGATGAGAGAAATCAGAAAGGCTGTACTCGGAGAATGTGAGCTTCAGGAACCGGGGCGTGACGCAAAGATGTCAGGTAGATTGTTTTACAGACACTCTAGAATTAGCAACAGCTTTTCCATGTAGTAAAGTGGTGAGTTCAGTCTGACTGAACATCTTGAAATATAGCACACAAAAAACAAGGAATAAAGGAGAGGAATACATACACTACATACCGAGTGCAGACTCCCAACACTCATAGATTAGAGAAAGAAAATGCGTTAGGAGCTTTAGCAAAAGTTCAAACAGGTCCAAGTGGGCCATGCTAATTCATCCATATGCATAATACTGTAAAAACAATTTCCTCGGCAGCTCAGGTAACAGACGGATTTGCGGACAAATTGGTCGCCCATACTACGAAAAATAAAAGCCTAAAATAATTCTCTTCTATGTTTTTATAGTATCTGCTAATTATTCACGTTTTTCCTAAGGATGTAAACAGTGCATAGGTAGGTGACAATCCATCGTAGATTTTAGAGAAAAATTTACTTCTCTTTATGTACTAGCCATCCATTTGTTACCTTCACTAACATGAAAATTGTTTTTTTTTCTTTTTTTAGTCGGCTCTTGCTAACAGGTAAATCGGCGCGTTCCACTTGGGCCTGTGCTCGAGCCCTTACCACATTTTTATTTCTCCCTTCTCTAATTTATGCGAGTTCATTTTGCGCCTGCATGAGGTCTAAGTGTTACTCTCCCTGTCTCCTTGATTTTTTGCGAACTATTTTTCAAGATGTTCAAGTAGTACCAGCTCACCACCTTACTACAATCATGCAACAACTAAAAACAATTACAACTTACACCATTCGCTAAAGTCAGTACCAAACGAAAAATCAGGGTTAGGGTAAGGTATGTCTAACACTATACACTTATACTCAACAAAATATAGATACCAAAAACTGGCGGGACACTACCTTAATTCAGGACATCCTTGTAAATTTCCCTAGAAGCTTGTAATCAATACTTGATAGCCTCTAAAAAAACAGCAGTATGAAAAGAGTAAATGCTTCAACATTTAAAGCAGTCCGAGTGTTTCTGGAGGTGTGAAATTCGTTGCACGTGCGTTGGATCATACAAAACACGTGCACAGCAAATGATATTTAGAGCTCGAGATTTCGCGAGGTATAAGAGCCGGCGTCAAAACTTATTTCGCGGGCACAAATTTTTGCGATCGAAAGTGGTATGCTATGCTATAATAACCATGGGGTGAATTCATTACGGCACCAATTTTGGCAATCCTTTTCTGATTACGAATCGCGAAAATGAAATCGTTTGGAGACGGCTGGACGGTGGAAGCTACGGGCTGGCTTGCTCGATCAGTCAATCGCCGCTTTTTGTCGGGTCCATTTCTCCGCACGCAATGGTGTCGGCAATGGAGGGGCACCGCACCGCGGGCTTCCAGACATTCTAGTTTACCAGCAAACAATACGGCAGAGGGAGGCAATCAACACCCCCCTCCCCCATCCTCTTCCGCCTTTGACCCCCACCCCCCTACTTTCCGTCTCCTAAAGAGTTCCGCCGCTACTGATGGACCTTGAGCGAGTTCAGTCTCTGCATCGGGGAAAAAAGAAGAAAAACAGCCTCGCGTAACACCATTTGCGCACAATTAATAATACTGGTAAAAGCAAGCGATCTACAGACAATAACAAGCCTTCTGAACGTAGGAAATAAGCTAGCTCTAACGAACAAAGAAACAAACTTACTTCGGATCCCGTGCCACGATCTTGGCTGTTGAGCTGATTTGACGTAGTTCCACGTCTCACAGTCGCTTCCGTTTTTTTCCGACACGTTTGAAACTAAGGCCTACTCCACGGATCACGACTAATGGGCAAAATTTAACCGTTACCCGGTCGTGATCGCAGGCATTCAAACGGTTCAAACGCACACGGCCGATACGCCCGGCAAACCGTGCGAAACATAGGCTGTTGATTCGATTGATTGTTTTCGTATCTTCAAAGCGTTTAAGAAAAAAGGATAAGCAAACCACATTATAAAACTTACAAAAAACACAGTAATAATAAATTATTGCGCACGTCAATATTGCCATAATATTATGAATAATTCCTGAACACTTCGCAAAATATTAAATACGAAACTAGGTGTACCTGTTTCGAAACGAATTTAACAAACATGTATACTTCTAGAAAACGAAGAAGCTTAACTCGGCGCCAGAGCTGCGAGAGCTTGCCGAGGCCTTCTCACACACCAGGGCAACCGAGGCCAGGCAGGAAGAGCAGGCTCTGACGGGCACACTCCGCATCATACTCGAGGAAGAGGAGAAGAGGCCTGGCACCTTCGCTGAGGACATTCGATACTGCAAGACACGCCTGCAGGAGATGATGGAGGAAAGGTTGCGGGGCGCCCAGGTGAGGAGCCGAGAGCTAAACCTGGAGGGCGAGACCCAGCCCACTATGATTTTCCGGACCTTCGAAAGGAAGCGCGCGCAGGCAAACCACATCTCCAATGTGCGGTACGAAGGCCACCTGGTGAGCGGGCAGGAAGAGGTGGCGGCAGCGTTTGAATCGCACTACAAAAGACTTTTTAGTAAACAGGAATGCGATGCCAGTACCCACCACAAGTACCTCCAAGAGCTTGCCGCCGTCCCGGACGATATAAAAGACTTAATAAACGCCCCAATCAGGGAGGCTGAGGTACGGCGAGCCATCAAGAAGCTGTCCGGCAACAAAGCGCCCGGACCGGATGGAATCGGCGCAGAGTTCTACAAAAGGTATGCGGACCTCCTCTGCCCCATTCTGGTAGAGGTATACCAAGATATCTTTCAGCGAAAGCTTCTACCTCCGTCCATGAGGGAAAGTCTTACGGTGCTCATCCCGAAAAAGGCAGGCAACAGCTCCGACCCAGCAGTGACGGACTACAGGCCCATCAGTCTTCTCTGTGGGGACTACAAAATTCTTGCCAAAATTTTGGCGAGAAGGTTGGATCTTGGACTTCGGTGCGTGGTGGGCGACCATCAAGCTTACGGTCTACGGGGGCGTTCCATAGCGCGAAACCTCCACGCCATGCGTATCGTCAGGGAGACAAGTGGTGAGGGACACCAGCCTTTGGCGGTCCTTCAACTCGACATGAGCCAAGCCTTTGACCGGGTGTCCCACGAGTTCCTAAGGGCTGTGCTGAAGAAATGTGAGGTCGGGGACGGAATGTTGGACTGGGTGGGCCTCTGCTACCGAGACATATCGACGAGACTTCTCGTCAATGGCGATAAAGGGCGCTCAATACCGATAGGCCGCTCGGTGCGACAGGGCTGCCCGCTCTCTCCCATACTCTTCGCCCTACAACTGGAGCCCCTCTGCCGGGCCATCATCCGAGACACAACCATACAAGGACTGCAGATGGGCGATCAACACGTGAAGCTCCTGGTTTACGCCGATGATGTGGCTTTGATTTGCACCTCCAAGGCTCAGGTCGAGGCTGCTCTGCAGCACGTCGCGGTGTTCTCCCAAGCGTCTGGAGCAGAGGTCAACCGGCGGAAGTCCATCGGTGCTTGGCTGGGGGATTGGGCCGCAACGCCCACAATCTTCGCAGACATCGAATGGAGAACAACGGTTGATAGCTACCTGGGAGCGCCGATTGGAGAACGTGGGCCCACGGTGGAAAAGTGGCGTCAGAAGACCAACGCCATTCAGGCGAAGCTGTCCCCGTGGCTCGGCAGGCGGTTATCGCTCTTTAATAGAGCGTACGTCTGCAACTCTACTTCATATCCAGCGGTACTCTACTGGGCACAAGCTGCCGTGTGTCCCGAGTCAACTGCCAATCGTATTCACCGAAGCTGGGCTAGCTTTATCTGGAGGTCGACGATGGAGAGGACGCGGCGCAGCAACCTCTTCCTCAGTTTAGCGGCCGGAGGTCTGGGCCTCGTGAACGTGGTGCTGAAGCTCCACGTGCAGCGCTTCCTTCTCTTCAGAGACAGGCGGGACCCCCTCTTTTTAAGTGCCCTACATTACCTCGGCTACCCATACCTCGGCAGATGGATGGTCAGTACCACAGGTCGCACCACCAGGGGAGCGGGTCTGCGGTTCTACGCAGAAATCGCCGCCTCAGTGGAGTTCTTCCTGGTCCACTTCTCTTGGGAATACCTACTTGCTGCCAGCCGCAAGACGCTGTACTGGGACACACTCGCCATCGTGCTCCCAGTTCCCCTCTACAGAATGGAGACGGTTCCCCTTTGCGCAGCCGGGCTCTTCAAGCGGGTGCGGAGGTTCCCTGTCCCGGCATCCACTAAGGACTTCTTCGTCCGACTCCACCTCGAGGTGCTGCCTGTGAAGGTGTGGTTGGCCGCGAGGGGTGTTTTCGTCCCCTGGTCTACAAACTGCGACCTGTGTGGCGCGAGTGAGACGATACAGCACGTCTTCGTCGAGTGCTCAAATGCGTATCTCTTCTGGGACGAACTCAGGGTGGCATTTGGGCAGCATTTTGAAATTGAGTGGCCAGTCTTTAAGTATTTGAACCTCGGAGGTACCGACAATTCGGACGTAGCCCCGGCAATTGTCCTGCTGGGTCTGCAGTCCATTTGGTTGGCGCGTACTGCCATGGTGGAATGTCACACCGACGCCAGGCCGACGTGGGACTACTTCACGTCAAGGCTGAGGTGGCTCCTCTCCATTGCCGCGGGGGAGGAATATCACGAAGGAAAGGAATGGCAGCACATAAAAAATAGACTGGAGGCAAAACGACTGAAGGACCAGCGCGCCTGGCAACGGAGGGACAGGAGCGGGGCTAACTA